CTCTCTTCTCTTCTCTTCTACTCTACTCTACTCTGTTCTATTCTATTATATTCTACAGCAAGATCTGAGACCTGGGTTCCAAAGCTTTGACCTATTCATCCTCAAAATCCCTATCTCCTGAAACCATTGAAGCCAGCCTACCCTAATCTTTCACCAAATATAAACATTCACATAAAGTTATCTTGGTGGCAATAAAAAATAAAGGTCTACCCCTGTATAAAAAGTCTGAAAGCAGCAAGCATGTGTTTTCTGTCTACTTACCCTTTCCACTTCCCAGAATTTTTGAAAAAGGAAACATTGGTCGCTGACACATTGCTTCAGAATTATTAATTAATCCATTTTTCATAGCTGTGAATCCAGTTAGCACAATCACCGGTGTGTGTCCTATCCAAAAGGTGAAGATGTTCCCGTAAGTGTCTCTAAGCTGTAAATGGGATTAAAATATTGGACAAAGACAGGGCAGGAAAAGAGTTAAGTGTTATGTGAAAAATATTGTTGCTTTCCAAATATCTGTGTTTATTCATTTCTTTGTTTAAAAATTATGTATTAAATATTACAGATATTACAGATAAAATGAATAAAAATAAAAGAGAAGGAGAAAAAATACAAAGCAGAAAAGTAAAAATAAAAATAATGAAATACTGTAAAAGAAAAATTGATGAAAAAATAAGAATATAACAAAAGAAAAGAAAAGAAAAGAAATATAAAGGAGTAACTTCTTTCATCTAGCAAGTATAAAAAAATTGAATAGCTTATCATTTTACCTTAAAATACAACAAACTCTTCACATCACATCTCTTATCTATAAATAAATCCTTAAGCCCTCATCATTCAGTTCTCATCTACAAAAGTCCAACAAGGGTTACCAGAAATAATAACATACCTATTTTAACATTGTTCCAAAAAAAGCTACATTTATAATCTTTCCCTTTAGTTTTATCAATCTTGATCTTTTTCTTCTTTCTCCCTTTTCATCAAGTTTTTCTAGGAATGTGGTGGCTCATGTAGTAAGGATGCTGGGTTGGAAGTTAGCAAGCCCAAGTTCGAGACCCGAGTACTATCGTGGAGTGGGATAAGTTCCCGTTATTTGCTCCAGCTCCTTGATTGGGACATGAAAGGTGCCTCCACGGGCATCCCCAAACAACAGTGATATCATCAGATAATCATTTCAACCTGGAAGTGCCTTAAAAGTTGTCTCTAACACAAATGGGGGATCAAGTCCTTTAGAATTTTAACAAGTGTCCTTTGTAAATCCAATATAATAAAATTACCCAAATTGCTCTCCTGGTTGGTTAATTGGTTATACATTCTTTTCAATTATTAAAACAACAGCTTGTTTCCTTTGTAGACCCAGTATTTCATTTTGTTCCAAATCATTCTTGTGGCCTGTCATTTTTAAATTCACATTCAGATCTATTTCAGTCTTATCCAGTAAAACCTGTTCCTCTTCCATAACATAATTCACACAAAGCCTATTTATGATGGCAGACATTGTTAAAATTAACTTCTGAGATCACTGTTCACATTTGTCCTCAGTATATTCAGTGATAAGGTATATTTCTCCATTCTGTGTTAAAAGGTCAAATAGTTAATTGTAATCCTTATTTCCTTTTAGCTATGGTATCCAATCTTCAAAGTCTCTTCCTATCACATTTTTTTTCTGAAATTCATAATATTGTGTGATTTTCCCACAGGAAGGATTCATTCATTTTATTTCAAAATTCATTTGAAGTCCATCTAGACTCTTAATCTATTTATTATTTGCCAAAAGCAATACTCCAATGACCTTTATTTGCTGTTCACACTTTTGCTTAGCAAAAATTGCTAACTCTTTGAATTTTATTTTGCTGAGAATTGAGGAAACTTACCCTGTGGATGTCATTTGCTATTCGAAAAGTTTTTATTATTTGAAAGCAGCTTAAAAAGCTATTCTAAAAGTGATTAAGGAATGAAGCTCAGCCATGTTTTATGTCTATGTACTGCAGGCTATATTACAGATGTGGACAGAGATGGAACCTCTTGGCTTCCAGCTTACCAGCCAACCATGAAAACCTTGGTTGCTGCAGCCTACTTGCAAGGAGCAGTGGTCCAAGATACATATGGGCAATCCCACGCTCTTTCCCTTCCCCAGAGAGGTTTTGCCATCCTCTAGCTGGTCATCTTGGCCATAATGCCATCTTCATCCCTTCAGGGATATCCAGCTCACCATATCCTCATTGAAAGTCCACCAGTTATTCACTGCAGATACAGCTTTTTCAGTCCATATCAGAATTTTAAGGGATGGTGCAATACAGTGGTGGTATTCTACCGGTTTGGCCCGGTTCTGCCGAGCCAGTAGCAGCGATGAGCAGTGGAGACTAAACCACTTCTCTCCACTGCTCTGCTGTTGGGCTCATCCATCTGCCCTGGCTTCCATACTCACCTTTATCCTCTGAATTTGAAGCGCAGCTGCTTTGTGCAGCATAGAAAAGTGCTGCACGGCAGGTGCTGAAGCGACCGGGATCATGCAGGCTTGCAGGAGGTGAGTTAGAATGCCTCTGCACCTATGCAAACACCCCTGCGACTGTGTAAAGTGCACGTTTGGTGTGCACACATGTACAAAGCGTGTGCATGCACGCAAAGCATGACCACCAAGCCATGCCCACCGAACCGGTGGTAAAAATATTTGAATCCCACCACTGTGCTATAGATATGAAGTTTACCCTGTTTGAGATTTAGACAGAAATCAAACATTTATTTATTTTTATTTTATTTGTCAATTGCTAACAAGATAATAAGTATAAGTAAAAACATAATTATGAATACATGGATACATATAAGAAAAATAAAAAATAAAAAAATAAAAGAAACAATAGGACAGGGATGGTAGGCACATTGGTACGCTTATGCACGGCCCTACAGACCTCTTAGGAAAGGGGTGGGGTCAATAGTAGACAGTCTAAGGTTAAAGTTTTTGGGGTTTGGGGAAGAAACCACAGAGTCAGGTAGAGTATTCCAGACATTGACCACTCTGTTGCTGAAGTTGTATTTCCTGCAATCAAGTTTGGTACAGTTTACCTTGAGTTTGTATGTATTGTTTGCCCTTGTGTTGTTATGGTTGAAGCTGAAGTATTCATTGACAGGTAGGACATTGCAATGTATGATTTTATATACTATACTTAGATCAGACCGAAGGCGGCATAGTTCTAGGTTTTCTAGGTCTAGAATTTCGAGTCTGGTGGCATAAGGTATTCTACAACGAGTAGAGGAGTGGAGAACTCTTCTTGTGAAATATTTCTGGACTTTCTCAACTGTGTTAATATCAGATACATAATGTGGGTTCCAGACTGATGAGCTGTATTCAAGTATTGGTCAAACATCAAATCAAACATACATGCATCAAAGTCACAGAGAAATTGTCCCTTGTGCCAATATTTTAATAATGGTTTATCATTATGTAGCAGAAGATCCTATGGAATTTAGAGGAGGAGGAGGAAGAAGAGAATAGACACTCGTGTGATTTATTAGCTAGTTGTTTTCATTCCCATACTGTTGTTGTGGGCCAAATGGTTGCAATAATTAACATAAAATGATAAGATTTGAATCTGTTCTTACAACAAGAAGTTGCCAGGCTGGAATGCTTAGATTGTCCTTTCACCTGCTTCATTTTTGTTGCAACAACATTCATTACATGGCTGCATTCAGTGCCCTCTTCCTGAAGAGACTGTGGGTTTCCTGGACAACATTGTTACACAGTGATTTGAGGTATGACCAGGAGTGGGATTCAACCAATGTTACTACCGGTTTGGTGATTATGTTTTGCGTATTACACCCTGCACACGCATATAATAAACCTTAAGATGTGCCACCTGGACAGCTGATAAGCACTGCGCGCGGGGGCACAGCGTTCGAAAAGCCTCTTCTTTCCTACTTTTTCAACCTCAGCTGTGCTGCGCAAAGCAGCTGAGATTGAAAAAGCAGGAAATAAAGGACAGGTAAGAGCCCAGGCAGGTGGGTGAGCCAAACAGCAGCAAACACAGAACCGGTTTGGTGTCTGCTGCTCTTCAGAGCTACTGGTTCTATAGAGCCGGGCAGAACCGATAGCATCCCACCCCTGGGTATGACAGCTGGGCTAAACTCAGCCTGTCAGCCTTCAAGATTTTCTACTACTGCTTTGCATCTTTTGGCTGCCATGAGTAATGGAGGAAGGAGGGGGGATATTGTCTGGGAAGAGAGCTGGAGGTGTTACATTCTTGTGTTGTGTAAATGAGGAGTGGGGGGGAGTATAAATTCCTGCTTTTAGGTTTCTATTTCTTGCTTAGCTTTCTTTTCTCTGTGTAGCTGCAAACCTTTATCAAAATATGCCAAGGTCAACAGACAGAGGCCTCATCACCACCTGAAGATGTCCACACGATCATATTCAGAACTTTTTATTGGAAGAATCTTTTGAACTATGGGGGGTGGGAACAATTCCATCACTTTGTATATGTGATCTGCGCGCCTAATTTCTCAGATTCAGAATCCTACTGATGTTACCACTTCATTTTTCAGTAAAAGAATTCTTTTCTCTAATTTATGGAGTCTAAGTATTTCTTTCTTGGATTTTGAATGGAGCACCGAGTGACATTATTCTGAATCTCACACCAGCCCACCCGGAGAAAATATCCAGTTTTCTTCCGAGGGGGTTGAATACCATGTCATCTTCAGCTAGCGACCAGGAGGACCTGGGAGGGCAATCTTTGCTGATACCGGAGGTGCCAGCAGCTGAATTGCTAGCGGACCTCACCCTGGAAGAGGTTCCAGCTGAGAAACCCAGATGGTCATTGGGGGTTGGCTGGAAAGATCCCGAAAATCCCCCCCCCCTCCTGGAATCGTCATTACCCGAAGGTGTGGGAGAGAGGAGCCATGGCAAGAGAAGGAAAGGAGAGAATTATTACTGGATCAAGCCAGGCATCTTCTTAATGAGGCATTTGTACAACCCCACGCCGCATCAAGGTATGAAGGGGAAGGGGGAGCAAGTTCAGCCAGAAGCAGCCAAGCTGCCCCCACCCCCATAATTCAGCCTGCGCCAGCGCAGCAACCAGCTGCAGCCCCGGGGCCCCCAGCAGGAGGTGTGATCCTTAGAAGACGCAAAGCTCTCAAACTGCCTCCGTTAGAAGTGAAATTTGGGGAAAATCCCAAAGACTTGGGTTTCTTCCTAGCACAAGTTTGGAGCTATATGGAAGAATATGGGGAAGAGTTCACCTCTGAAGCAGCCAAAGTGAGATGTGTTACCAGGGCCCTGGAGGGAATAGCTGCAGAATGGATGGTGACTTTGTACAATGATAACTCCCCCCAACTGCTGAACTATAACGTATTCATGACCGCGCTGCAGGCAAGATTTGAAGACCTGCTGGCGGAGCAAAAGGCCAGGATCAGAATGAAAACCATAAATCAAGGCAGGAG